TGAAAAATCAAATAGTAGGATAGGGTACCAGTGGTTCTTCATCTTTTTTTTTTCTTCCAAATAGTTATTTCATTTGTTAGAATTTGGATGGTAGCAGAAATGACAACAAAAACTCAAGGAGACTGACATTTCAACATTTAGATGTATAACAAATAACTAGGGGTCAAATTTAATGTATCATTTTAAAAAGTTGTCCTTTGCCATAACATAACCTGGGAGGTCAAGGTAGCTGGCAGTACACATCCCCAGCTCACAAAAGGTTTCCCCAAAGAAGCAGCTATATTCCTCTTTAAGGCACAGAGAATAACGGTCATTGACTACTGACCCAGTGGCTTTGCCTGAATGAACGGAGCAGCCTCGACACAATTTTTAATGGACAGACACCCTGACAGCAGAAAAGTCAAGTGCTTACATCACAATTACAGCTGATTTATAATTTCTGCCATCAGCCCAGGGACAGGATGGGATCTCACTCCAAAAGAAATAAATCTTCTCTGATGATACTACACTTTACTACCAACAGACCTGTTTAAAAGAGAAGCACTACAGAAGTCCCACACTTACAGCGGATCTGTTCTATAGGTATTTGTTCGACCTCTATGTGTAGAAGGCTTAACATATTCTAGTGGTACGTTCAAGCAAAACAGAGACGAGACGTTGGTGATATTCTACTTTGAGACAATTTCAGATGATGCCAAACACACAAAAGTGATATTCAGTGAGGGTAACAATTTCAGTAAGAACAAGGGACTGGTATTAAATTACTACAGTGTTAAGTGAAGTTATATTTTACCTTGGTCATTTGGAGGCAACCTTTACCAATCTTAAATGGATCATCTGCACAAAATATTCACCTTGATCCAATTTTAGTTGGTAGTTCAGATTTTTTCACTGTACAAAAGTGTAGTATCTCATAAGCCTGTTTGACTTTAGCTTGACCCAGACTAAGAATGCCTATTAAGGTGGGTTCCAGTTTACCTCATCTCATCAGGGCCAGGAATGATGTCCCTAGCCTTCAGGAAAAATGCTTTGAACCTAATACCTGAAACATTTTGGGAGGTATATTACTGTTGTTGAGTCAGCATGGTAATATCATCATTTCCTTAGTATCTTTATGTAAAGGGCAGAGACTCAATGTACGCTTAGTTGATTCATTTACATCAACACAGACATCGATTTCTATTCCCTGTGGTGGATTTGGGGTATTTCCCCCTACATTCCTCCAGTCCCTTCTCTGTGCAGGACTTCAAGTCCTCTGGTTGCAATGGTGTTTTGAACATGTTAGTACACTGTAGCAACTGCAGGTTTTCTGGCTTCAAGAACAAAAAACTCTGTTTATCACCACCTGTGGACTCCTGTAGTCACTCCAACCTCTGACCACAGATGGTCAGGTTTATTTGTTTGACAAAAACAGAGAAGTTGTCTATGCTTTTTTTTTTTTTCCAATGCTTATCTATTCTTAGAGGCAGAGAAGGCATACACCAGTGTGCAAGAGCAGGGGAGGGGCAGAAAGAGAGGGAAAGAGAGAATCCCAAGCACGCTCCTCACTGTCAGCACAGAGCCCCCCACGGGGCTCAAACTCACGAACCGTGAGATCATGACATCAGCCAAAATCAAGACTTGGACATTTAACTGACTGACCCACCCAGGTGCCCCTCTCTCCTACTTTAAACACATCTTCCAGAGTCTCTAGGATCAAGCAGCTGTGGAGCAAGTTAAAGTCTTAAATGTTTGACATTATTTGTTTAAAAAAAATTCCTTGGGGCACCTGGGTGGCGCAGTCGGTTAAGCGTCCGACTTCAACCAGGTCACGATCTCACGGTCCGTGAGTTCGAGCCCCGCGTCGGGCTCTGGGCTGATGGCTCAGAGCCTGGAGCCTGTTTCCGATTCTGTGTCTCCCTCTCTCTCTGCCCCTAGCCCGTTCACGCTCTGTCTCTCTCTGTCCCAAAAATAAATAAACGTTGAAAATAAATAAATAAATAAATAAATAAATAAATAAATAAAATTCCTTTATTATTCTTACGATACCCTTATTTATTGTTTTCTACTGTTATTTTCAGTTCCTGAAATAGCCTACATATATTTAAAAACAATTTTATTTTAAAATTAACAATGTAGAATTTACATACATGATTATAGTTAAAATATACCCTACTTATATCTTTTTGTATTTATGTTTATCAACTGTCAGTGTTGATCCTGATTAAAACTTGAGTACAGGAAATGGAATCTGAGTTCAGATCAAAATATGGCTTATTTGAAAACACCAGAAACATGATATGCCTTTTATTTAGCAGAGTTTCTATCATTTGTCACCTATGACAGAATAAGATCTGCCCTTGGCTTTTGGTAAGCTGAACTTTTTCAATGGCTTGTCATTACCATTTCCTCTGTCACTTAAATTTCCACTGTGGGTTTGCAGAAGGAGTTCCTTGAGTTTGGTTCATCTGACCTTAACAGCTCAAGCTCCACACACTATTGAAAGCATCCTTGGGGGCGCCTGGGTGGCGCAGTCGGTTAAGCGTCCGACTTCAGCCAGGTCACGATCTCGCGGTCCGTGAGTTCGAGCCCCGCGTCGGGCTCTGGGCTGATGGCTCAGAGCCTGGAGCCTGTTTCCGATTCTGTGTCTCCCTCTCTCTCTCTGCCCCTCCCCTGTTCATGCTCTGTCTCTCTCTGTCCCAAAAATAAACAAACGTTGAAAAAAAAAAAATTAAAAAAAAAAAAAAAAAAAGAAAGCATCCTTGATCTTCAGCACAAAACAAAAACAAACAAACCCAATCTGAAACTAACAAAATTTTCCCTACTAATCATGGCATCTAGTTATGTTCCTAGAAAAGTCTTGCTGACCTTTAGTGGAAAGTAATATTAGTGGCCAGAATCAGGCTACGTGGGGAGTGTGTAGGATGGTACTGGATATCTGAGCTGGAGGGAAGCCAGGAGCTAACTGTTCATTACCTTCTTTAGAACAGAGGGGAAAAATTATATTTGGCTATGATTTAATGAAGAGTCTAAGTTCACACAGATGGTTTAACTAAGTCCTTTTTTTGGTCTCAATGTGAATAATTTAAATAAATTCCCCCTCTCTTTTCTAAATTACTGTCTTTAATATTCATACGCATGCCAAAAATTGCCATACCAATTCATTTATTTGAATTATAATACCATTAAAAGTACAAGGAATCTCATTTTTTTAAAACATAATTGTATTTTTTCCAAGTATTTCATTCAATAATAATCACAATACATTAATTATTTTACCATTTCATTTTTGGCTACAGAACTAATGTGTTTTTTTTTTTTCTAATAAACCAAGTAAACATGCATGGAACCTATATGGGAATGTCCCTTTACTTTCATAAGCAAAATACAACCTTATGTGTATTTGTATATGTATCTATCTATGTTATGATTATTTTTAATCACAGGCAGTTTTAGTGTTTAGCTACAATATTTTCAAACGCCATTAGAAAAACCAAAGGTATTTAGTGATTTAATATTATGAGTAAAGTTTCCACAAGGCAATTGAGAATATCAGTGAACACAATTAAGTTAATAACACATTAACACAAAGCTAAGAATTATCAAAAACATGTAAAACATGAGACATTACCCAACACTTCAAGTGTGACAATTTCTTATGTCAAGATTAAAGTTTTAGAAGAATCAAATCACAAAAGATCACAAAATACATGGTTTGATATGCATGCCTACGGTTCTTTGTTTACATTATTGATGTACCCATCAACCAATCCAGGTATGAGTGTATTCTACAGTTCGGCGTATAAACAGAAATATAAAGTGTTATAAGGTCACAGTCACTGAAAACATTAATCATTTTATCTTTAATGCGACAATCTATTTTTTTGATAGATTGCAACATAGCATGTCTACAACCCCCATTTCTCCATCTTATGGTAGCTGTACAATTATGAGAGAGACAACGTGAAATCACATACGAAGAATCAATTCACAGACAAAATAAGGCCTCTGTTTATCAGTAAATATCTTCCAATTAGGAACAGTAAGCAAAGAGATCCACAAACTGAGAATTATTAATTTTTAAATTGTATCTATCATATATTATTATATTACCTTTTATATTCAAAACATTTGAGATAAACCCCCCCAACATTAAGTCTTAAATTTATTTTAACCACAATACGAAAAAAAAAAAAATGGCTAAAAACAACAGTGAAAAGTGTTAAGACGAGTGAAGAACTTACCAGGCATTAGAACTCACTAGAAAGCCACTGCATTCAAAGCAGAACGGTGTTGGCCCAGAAATAGATAGGGATCAGAACACGGAGTCCAGAAATAGATCCAAATACATATGGCATCTTTATATGTGACAAGAATAACATTTCAACCCCATGATAAAGGTTCTTGTAATAACGAGAAATTAATAAAGACAATCCTACCTCATATCATGTGCAAAACTTAACATTGCAGTAAGACTTGAATGTTTTAAAACTTGGGGAGAAAATGTAAGAAAATATTTATATGACCTTGAGATGGATACACCACCCCGAGCAAAACAGATTATCTCAGAAGCAATAAAGCAAAAGACAGACATATTTGATTAATTAATAATTAACAATTTTCATTTGGCAAAAGACAACACACACAGAGACAAGAACTGTAAAGATATATTTGCACACATCTAACAAACGATTAACATTTCTAAGACACTGCAGCTCCCAGAATATGTGAAAGAAAAACACAACCAAGCAGAAAAATGGACAGTGGAAATGAATATGCAGTGAAGAAAGGGAAAATTCACATGGATACTAAACACATGAAAATATTCTCAACAGCCACAAGAGTGAAGAAAATGTAAATGAATGACCAGGGATAATGAGATTGGTAAGCATCAAAAGGAGCAGTGACATCTAATGCTGATGAGAATGTCAGAAATGGGCACTGTTACGTGCAAATATGATTGGCTATTCCTTCGAGGAAACTAATTTAGCTTTATCTGTGAAAATTAAAAATACACATACCGTTTGACCAAGCAATTCCACTTCTGGGAATCTATCCTATAGAAGAAAAAAAAAAAAGGACCAGTACGTAAGGACACAGGTACAAAGATGTTGATTGCAGCATTGTTTGTTGTGTGGTAGAGGACGAGGGGGGCCAGGAAATAGCACGAAAGCATACTGATGGAGAAATGATTAAATGAAATGTGATGTATCTATAATATGCAATTATTAAAAAGAACAGGATAAATCTGTAGATGCCGACTTGGAGGAGATTGGTGAGGTAAGAAAAGCAAACTGAAGGGTAAGTGCTAGAATCCCATCTTAAAACGGTAGCAACAGCAGCAACACAACAATGAAGTTGAAAACACTCGTGTGTACATGAAGGAAGGAATAGAGGAATACAGACGAGACTGACAACACCTGCCTAGGGTTGTAAGTGGAGGCAGGGATTAGAAGGGATGGGAATGATTTACATCCTCTTAGTGTATTTCTGTGTTGTTTCACTATTTACCAGGAGCACCCTATTAATTTTGTAATTTTCAAAAATACATTTAAGGAACAATGATTAGCTCTTATTAGCGGTAGTAGGGCAGTGTCTCCACACATTCATCCTCAGTGAAGAGGAGCAAATAAACAAATATTTCTTTCTTTGCTTATGCCAGTCATCACAGTATTCTTGTTTAATTGCTTGCCCAATATCCATCCCATCTCTCCCCCATATGTCTATTAGCCATGTGGTTTGGGTGGGTCGGATTCCCAGGGACTCCTGAATAGTCTAAGCCAGTTCTGTTGAGAAGAACTACAACTGAGAGCCACTTCTATAATTTTAATTTTCTAGGAGTCACAGTAAAAAAACTTTAGAGACACAGGTGAAAGTATTTTTAATCATGTATTAGCATTCTAACTCAGAATATCCCCAAATAGCACCATTTCAACATCCAGCTAATACACAAATTATTAATGAGCTATTCCACATTTTTTCATATCTCAACTTGGACTAGCTACATTTCAACATCTCAATAGCTACATGTGGCTAGTGGCTGCCATACTGGAGAGCACCAGTCTAAACTAGTGAAAGAATTGTTTTAATATTACCATATTCAAGGGGGACACATAGTTTAGGATGGCCTACTCAAAGAAAAGCTCACAATGACAGGAGAAAAAACATCTCCTGGTGGGAATGAATAAGAAAAAAGTATGAAAACTGCTGGCAGCCACATAGAGCTATGAAGGAAGCCTCAAGGGGGGAGAAATTGGGTCCTGTGGCAACCATGAACCTCTGGACCAACCCCTGCCAGAAGCCTGGACTATTAGTTACGTGAGCTGGTAAAGTTCCTTTATTTTTTCAACCACTTTGAGTTAGGTTTTTTATTACCTGCAATCAAAGGTATCCCAATTGATATTCATCTATGGCCAATGTTCAAACAAATGTTTTCTTCTTAAGCAAGTTAACTCAGATGCTCAACATTTCTTCCATTTATTTGTAGTCAAGGCATGCTTTTGTTAAACTAGCTTTATTCGGTAAAGCTTTTTTTTTTAGATATCTCCTGGAAACATTTCTGAAGACTTCCACAGACTAATTCCTGATCATCTTGGGTAATTGTCCATAAGCACCTCTCCTCAAGACAGTAAGGACATGAGGTGCCAGAGAAATCTATCAGTTCCACTCCTATTCCACCCTCTTTTCTAGTCTTTCCCCTCTAGACCAGGGCTCCCTAACTTGAGCACTACTGATATTTTGGGGAGATAAGATTTTGTTGGGGGCTGTTTTCCTGAACACTGCAGAACGTTTAGCAGCATCCCACTAGATGATAAATCCCACTCGCCCAGTAGTTGTGACAATCAAAAATGTGACTACACACTGTCAAATGTCCTCTTACAGGACAAAATCCCCCCTGGCTGAGAACTGCTGTTCTACACCAACCACCAGTTCAAGTGCACAAGTGACCTTCATTGTTCTGTGAGACTCAGTCATTGCAGCAAGCATACAGTATGATGCTACTCCTCTATCCTCTGCATCATAAGCTTTCCATGCACACATGAGGTTCTAGAATCTCATCTGTTCATGTGTTTCCCCTTCCCTCCCATACTATGTTGACCCTGAGCTCTCCATTGCACACTTCTTTCCAAAAGAAGTGTGCCTAGATCCCTCTAACTTCACCTTGAAATCATTACCTGAGCTGCTCCCCGAAGCAACCACCCAACCATTGCTCTCGGGCTTCTTTGAGGGGATTTTTTTCGACAAAGTATGTGCTCATTTATAGCCATTCATTCCTCAATTCAAGTTCTCACAGCTGGGCCACTCAGCTCTTCCATCAGTCCATCCTGAGGGACAACTCCATCCCAGACTCTCCACACTGTAACAACTCATACTTTATTCTTCCTAATCCATCTCTAAGACCAGAGTTCCACTGTAACAACCACTGGAAAACTTTTCACAGCTTCTCAAACTGATATAAAAATTTAATCCAATTCCAATAAAAATCTCAAGAGGTTTTTCTTTTTGTGGAAACTGACAAACTGACTCCAAAATTAAAGAACCTAAAATAGCCGAGACAACTCCGGAAAAAAATCAAGATGGAGAACAAACACTACCTAATATCTATACTTATTATAAAGCCATAATAATCAAAACATTGTGGTACTGCTGGAAAGACAAACAGGTCATTGAGAGAACAAAGTCTGCAAAAAGACACACACATATAGTGAGAGCAAGTGATTTTCAACAAAGGTAAAAAACAATTCAGCAGAGAAAGGTTCATTTGTTCAACAAATGGTGCTGGAACAATTAGATAACTACTTGCAAGAATATGAGCTTCAATCCATGCTTCACCCATATACAAAATTAACTCAAAAGGAATTACAGACTTAATGTAAAATCCCAAACTATAAACATTGTGACCTAGGTCAGGTAAAGATGGCTTAGATGCAACACCACAAGTATATTCACCGAAGGAAAAAATGATAATACAGATAATACAGATTTTAATTTTAATAAAATTGAAAACATTTGCTCTTCAACTGATGCTGTCAAGAGACTGAAAACACAAGCCACAAGTTGGGAGAAAGTTTACCAATCATATATAGCAGTTTTATCTATTATGGCCCCAAAGTATAAGCAACCCAAATGTCCATCAACAAACGGATGGCTAATCAAACTGTGAATAATCAAACTGTACCCATTCGATACGGTATTACTTAGCAATAAGGAATGAACTATTAACATATGCTACAACATAGATGAATCTCAGAATAATTAAGCTGAGTAAAAGAAATGAGATTTCCCTCCCCCCCAAAAAGAGTACCACCAGTAGTGTTCCATTTATTTAAAATTTGAGAAAACGCAGGGAGTAATAAATCAGTAAAAAGAAACTTCTGGGCAGGATGGCTACTTCATTCTCTTGATATGGTGGTGGTTTCACAAGTATATACATAAGACATTTATGAAATTCTGTACCTTAAATTAAGTACAGTTTACTGTATGCCAATTATGCTTCCATAAATCTATTTTATTTTTCTGAAAGATGTCAGGGGGGAATTATTAGCTGTTGGGGGAAATATTAACTGGTAGACCATGTAGGCCTCTACTGCTCTGGGTACAGCTGAAACTGGTGCATGCTACATGGGATTTCATGAGAAGTGTTTTTGAAGGGTTTGTGTGCTTGTTTTGTTTAAAATTGTGCAGTGGAGTAACACAAATAAAATTCAAAATTCCTGGGTACTTAACATAATACAGCCTGGGTAGTGTTAAATCAGGGACCAAAGGTATGTGCTGGACAGGGAGAGATTTGGTGGAGCCTCAAGAGGTACCAATTTCCACTACCTTCACTGTAATTCTCTTTTTAAGTATATCCCGAGACAATCACCACCATCACTATTCCTCCTGTGGTTTTCAAGGTAAGTCTGACCACATCTTTCAATAAAAAAAACAAAGAAAGAAAAATGAGAATAAAGCCAAGTGGCCTGAATTCTCAAAGATAATAATTAAGCAGCAAGCTTTAACCAGATGTTTGATGACACTATTTTTCCCTACGATTCTATCAGAATCAACTGCATTTACATACAAATTGGCAATACTTTGGAATCCCACCTAAGAAAAAGCCACCATTTTTCCCTTAAGACATGAAACCCATGTACTGATCTATTAATTTCTTTTCAGGATATGATGTCAAGTGCATTTTTAAAATATACTCCATTGCTCCCAAGTGCTTCTTTAATCCACAAGGACTGGTTTTAGCATTTAAACTAATTTATCCTAGACATAAAAAACCTTCTGCTTATTCTCCCAGATAATTGATTCTTGATTTGTTAAGATACTAAACACTACACTTTATACCCTGAAATGCAAAACCGCTGGTGAACTCACTCGTGTGCTCCATGCAGAGCAAATACCATTTAGTGCCTCAGCAGAGAGGCTAAGGAGAGCTCAGAAACGGAGAACACCCCCTCGCTCTGTCCTGCTGCCAACACAGGGGGAAGGTCCTCACTGTCCCTGCAACAAAACGCTATCATTTGTTTCACAGCAGCTACATACGATATCATATGGTGCCAACTTCCCAAAGCAAATGGTTTTCAAAAAATAAAAAGAAACCCAAAGATAAGCTCTGCCTCAAAGCTGACCTAAGGAAAAGCACAGACGACCACCAACAATGACATTATAAGGCTGCATTTTAAGGGCGCCTGGGTGGCTCAGTTGGTTAAGTGTCTGACTTCAGCTCAGTTCATGATCTTGGGGTCCGGAAGTTTGAGCCCCGTGTCCGGCTGTGTGCAGACAGCTCAGAGCCCACAGCCTGCTTCAGATTCTGTCTCTCCCTGCCCCTCCCCCACTTGTGTGTGAGCGTGCTCTCTCTCTTTCTCTCTCAAAAATAAATAAACTAAAAAAAAAATACTTCATTGGAAAATCACGGTTTATTAAGAGTTTGGCACTCAATGCTAATGTCATCCCAATGTTAATCTCATTGATCTGGATGACACAACACAAGTTAGAAATCACTTTTCCTACATAGTCAAGAGCACAAACATATGCCACACTAATATTTTCTAACAGAATAAGAACA